TGGGCCAAGGAGCTGCGCCCTCCACAATTAGATTGAAACAACTACTTGACTTGGAGCTGTTGGGTCCTAGAAAAACACTGTTCCCCAATAAAATTTCTAAAGAAAAGAAAAATATAGCGGATGGTTTAGGAGACCCACCACCCCAGAGTTTTTCGGCATGAGCCCTGCTGCCAGTGGTGCCTCCCTGTGGCATCACTGGGCAGAGCCATTGCTTCAGGTTGACTAGCGTTTAGAACCGTGACATTTCTACCAGATGCCCCAACTCAGAGTGTTGAGAACAGTTTTGTAGTTAGCCAATGAGATTAGTGGACCATGTTCTTTCAAGGAATACATGTTTACATGTTGATTGTGCTGTTCCCCATCAGGAGCCAAATAAACCTGTGTTTTAGATCCTCACCAATCTTGAAAATCTTAACTTCTATAAGTTGTGAAAAGAAATTTTTAACACTCCGTCCAGATCACAAAATTTCTGTGCTCTCACCCCCCAGTTGGTATGCTCCCCCATCCACATCACTGTTCCCCAATGAGAGCCTTTGCTTAGATTACTTGGTGACCTTCCACATCAAACACAAGTGGAATGGGATGGGGAAAGAAACATTATTCCGGTTTGTTGGTTTCTCCTGATTCTTTTGCCCCACCCACACACTTTCTTTTAGACCCTGGGCCCTTCTGCCCAGCTAACATTTCCCTTCGCACTGGAACGAGAGCAATCTGAAAGTATAAATGCAGGAGGCAGAGCCCCACCTCCTGGCGTCTTCACCTCTCTTCCCTTTGTTAAAGCTCTCCTAGTGTCCTGGCACTCGGTCTGCATTGTTAAGGACAAGCGTGCTGCATAGGCAGCTAAGTGTTCGTCCTTCCGCTGCTTCCTGGGCAGAGATGGTGAGGAACCAAGTGACACTTGCAGCTTCCACCTGTACTGAACTATTTTCCACAGGAATGAACTGCCTCACCAGTTACGGTAGCCGGTCAAGAGGAAGCAGCAGTGTTCTGAAGATAAGATGGTTAAGTCCCCAAGCAGATATGTGTATTCTGGCATTCCGACATAGGACATGCCTTCCGTGGCTTTAACTAGGCAATTGATCCTGGGCTCCATGAATTTTTCCTTTTTTCAGTTCAATTTGAAATGTGCAGACCATCATGTGAGAGAAATAGCTGATGTAGGTGAGGTTCTCAGAAGGGAGTGGGGGCTTCCACTCGCAGAAATAGCCTCCATTTAATTTCCTTGTAGCTGCTGGCATTAGCATTTTCGGAAAGTATCAGGTCGTTCACTCTTAAGGTGTCCCAGAGTGTTGGATGCTGCACCTCAGCAGGCTGTTTGCTTGGTAAATAATTGAGGTAAAATGCATTTAGATACCTTCAGACTATAGTCATTGCTGCCTCTTAGGTGCGCTTCAGGTTAAACTTCCAGGCTCTTTACAGGGTTTCCCAGTAATTGGATTGAATGCTGACTCTGCGCTGGACACTTAGGTGCTGTGAACAGAAAAGCAAAAATTGTTTCATTGACTAAGAGCTTGGGATTACACTGCAGTTTGTGCAGTGAACTCTTTCTCAGGTGTTATTTCTTACCTGAGTTGTTTGGACAAAAGTAAGCATTTCCCTAAAATTGTAGTCAACCCTACACCTCATAGACGCAGTTGATAGAAGTATACTTAAAAGTCTTGCACATCAGCAGAGTTCTGTAGATCTTTCCATTCCTCACCTATGCTTGTCTATCTCTATTGGTGATTCTCAAATAGAGAATCACCAGGGAGCTGGGTGAAATTCAGCTTCCTGGGTCCAAAGTCCTAGAGAGTCTTTAATCAGTAGATCTCAGGTGAGGCTAAGCAGACTAGGTTTTGAATACCATATTTCCCCATGTATAAGATGCACCCTTTTTCAAAAAATTTGGGATCTAAAAACTGGGTGCGTCTTCTACAGTGGTTGTAGATTTGTTTACTTGCATTTCCCGCAAGTGATGAAGAGTTGTATGAATTTTATGATAAATAAAACTTGAATTCAATAACTTCATGTAATACATTTTATTTCAAATTTGGGGCCCCAAAATTAAGGTGCGTCTTATACATGGGAGTGTCTTATATGTGGGGGAACTACGTTAAGTGCTTTATGTGATTCTAATGCAGGTGGGCCCAGGACCACAGTCTGACACAAACATACTTTTGCATTTGTTCTCAAGGGAGAATACTTTTTTATGGGTCACTGTTCTCGGTATGTTGTGTTCAGGTCAGCAGCCTCAAAACTGATTTTAGGAAATATTAGAATTTAGGTTATAGGATATAATTGTATTTTGTTGTTGTTATCCAGCATTTTCAGACTTGGGTAAGAAAGTTAAGCATAAAGCAAAAATGCATTCATAAACAAGTGGTTTTCTTAAGGTAAAGTTAGAGCCGTAGGATATTTAGAAAGCAACAGAGCACACTTGTGTGGGGGTAGGTGTGCATGCATGTGCACATACATGCCCAGACACACATCCACAAGAGTAGCCTCTAACTTTAACCAGCCTTTGCATAAATCTATCCTGCCCATACCTAATTTAAACTAAATACATTAAAGCTTGATTCGATCTGTTAGTGTTGCGTGGAAGCAGAACTGGAGGTTATTGTTCAAGCCCAGTACTTATGCAAAGGTAGAAACAGACCCGGGGAGGGCAGATGTCTCCACAGGTGACAGCTGCAGAGCTGATCCTCGGTCTCGTTGCTTCCGCGTCGCTCGCTGTCTATAAACTAGGGAGACACAAAGCTATCCCCATGGGGTGATTAAATAAGAGAGTGGGCGTTAGGATGTTTTGGAAACCAAAGAGAATTATAGAGCTAAAGCTCCTAATTATTATGCTTATTGTGTTTTATTAACTAACGATTTAGAACCTAGCTAGGAATCTGTTGAGGTGAAGTCACTGGTTGATTCTAGATCAGTGAGTGCATGTTATTCATTCATGGTGTATTTAAAAAAATGCTTCTATGGTCATTGTGGTGAACTTTGAAAGTATAGATAATCGAAAGAAAGAAAACTTTAAATTATCCAAAATCCCGGCACTCAGATGATCACTATTCAAATTTTGGTATCAATGCTTCCAGATATTTTTATATATGCATATGTATTTTATAAAAATTGGGTTATACTGAACAGACTGCTTTGCAACCTGTTTTTTTGTTTGTTTGGTTGTTTTTGGGTTTTTTTTACTTAACAGTATATTGTGAACATTTTTCCATGTCAGTTGACACTTTATACCATTGTTTAAAATGACTGTATAGGGCCGGCCGAGTGGCTCAGTTGGTTAAGAGCTCGCTCAAGAGTCTGAGCTCTGAGCAACAGCGGTTCGAGTCCAGCCCGAGCTGAGCAGCTGCTGAGCTGCCAACAGGTAGCAGGATGGCTCAGCTAAAAAAAATAAATAATAAAAAATAAAAAATAAAAATAATAAATAAAATGACTGTATAGAATCCTGTTATATGGACAAAAGAACATTTATTTAATCAGTCTCTTACAGGACGTAGTTTTTATTTCCCCTTTTATTTTTTGATACTATAGACAATGCTGAAATAAGCGCCTTGAAAATGAATCTTCTAAGGGGCCAGCCGAGTGGCTCAGTTGGTTAAGAGCTCACTCAAGATTTTGAGCTCTGAGCAACAGCGGTTCGAGTCCCAGCCCGAGCTGAGCAGCCGCTGAGCTGCCAACAGGTGGCAGGATGGCTCAGCTAAAAAAAAAAAGAGAAAATGAATCTTCTATATGCAGTTGGGTTTCTATGTTGACATTGGCTATTTTAAAAATTAAAGCTAAAGTAATAGATGCTGCAGTTAATATACCTGACTAACATTGGTATGAACTCACTCTGAAATGAGTGTATTAAAATACTCATTTATTTTTATACCCAGAAACTAACTTGCTGCTTTTTAATCTTTCTAACTTGCGTGCGAGTTGAGGATACCTTCTCTGTCAGTCTGCTCGTGGCCTCTGCCCCAAAGCATCCCAGCTCTTACCTTTCTGTTACTTTGCAACTCTTCAGATTTCCTTTAGGCCAGGCCATGTGTGTTTCGCATGTGACCTTGTGGGCTCAGCCACTCTGTTCTGTCACCCAAGAATTACCTATCCAGTTATAGCCAGGACTTTCTGTTAAACAAAGTTCTTAATCAGTCAAGAGAGAGACCTTTCACTCTCTGAATTCTTAAAACTGTGCTTTCTTAAGGTAAATGGCATGTTAGGTGTATTGCTGATATAAAATTGGAAACTTGCAGATACCAGAAGGCATTGCTTATCTTTGTAAATACACATGTTCCAATTAAAATAGGTACTAAAATATTTTGGTGGCACTTCAAAACTCCCAATTTAGATTTAATTTAGATTAAAACACTTATTCTTTTTAATAAAGTTATAAAATTTATTATTAAAATTGCCTATTGAAGATTAAAAGCAGTGGAACGTTTATTTTCCTTACAAAACAGTTTAGTCTTCAATAAGTATGATTGTATTAATCAGTTAAGCTATTAAAATACAACTGCCATATTAAATCTGACTCATTTGTAATGACAGTTTCTATAATTATAGAAATTATACCTAGCCTCTTATATAGCCATAATCCTGCAATAAATATAAGTAATTGTCTCTATTAATTCAGTTCACAGTTACTGTCTATTAAACCCCAGTTAAATGGCAATTTGGGGACCTTCATTTAAAATCCTCCTAAATCTTTGTTGTTCCGTCTGACTGCCAGAGCCCCACAAATGCACATCCTACTCTTGATTCCAGCAATCCATTTATGAATAAAATAGCTTTTTAAAAAATATAAGTATTTAAAAGGTCTATTTAGGCTTAAGGTTTAAGGCTGTCAGAAAAAAAAAGAAAAGAGGGCATATCCATTGGGTGGGAGGTGCTGATAAAAAGAGAGAGAACAAATTTTGATGTCCTGGTATTCCTGTTTGGAAAACAGTATATAAATTTCAGTTTGAAAAACTCCGCGAAGCACTGCAGCATGTGGTTGAAGTAACTGTTCACAACTTGTGTTTCCATAGGTGTGGATGAGGTCACCATCGTAAACATCTTGACCAATCGCAGCAATGAGCAGAGACAGGATATTGCCTTTGCCTACCAGAGAAGGACCAAAAAGGTACAGACAGTTTCGGGGATGGAGGGCATTCCTTGCTGAATTTCATTTCCTCAGCCATTGCTTGTTCTTTTCATGGCATCTGGCTCAGACCAGCAAGAGTCTTCTGGAAACCTTGGGGATCCAAGGTTTTCCCCTCACATTCTTGTTAAGTCACAACTCACACACACGTGGCCCCTGGAGTGCTTGGAGCCCATACATAAAGACGGCCACCTTCTCCAGCGCATACTGTGTGGAGGGAACAGGTATGGGAATAGGAAGTTAGAAAGGAATAGAGTACCTACCAACAACAACTACAACAGCTACCACTGATCAAATGCCTGCTTTATGCCGGGCATGTAGTTCTCGACATGGAGCTGCAACTCATTTCATCTTTATGATGGCTGCTGGCTCTTGATGTTTCTAATTTAATCTTAGGACACTAGCCTCCACTGAGTATTGATCCTGACATGTTCCTCTCATTCTTAAAACAAAAATACACTTGAATTCTTAAGAGCTTTGCCACAAGCAGGTTTAGTTAGTAGTTCATTTGTTCTACCAGGATATCGTCAACATGCCACACTCCCACTATTTAAAGGATCTTTGTGTGCTTTTTCTCTGGCTTGTCCACTAGTGGTTAAAGAACAGCCCAGGGCTTGTTCATCCCTTATTTTGTCGCAGTGTTAGGGAATTTTATTTTTAAGGACGGGCAGCTTTATTTTTAACTTCTTGCTATTAAAAGCTTTTGATTTATTCTTGGATGATGCAGTAAGCATGGCTTCCTGTGGCTTCTGTTTGACTTATGGCTTTCACTCATAGCCACGGTGGAGGTGAGCTGGAAGGATTCTGGAAGACACGTCTGCTCTTGGGGCGGACATGACCACCAGGGTTCAGGGTGTTGCAGGTCAAGTGTGACCTTCTCTGACTCCCTCCACACCTCCCGAAACAGTTGGGAAGGGCACAGACAAGAAGACATCTGGCTTCTTTCGTCTTGTGTGCATTAAAATTCTTCTTCCACCTAGACTTGGATGAATCCTCTGTAGGGAGGCACAGAGTAGACTGTTTGATTTCTCCAATTTCCCCAGAGGATCTGTGAGCTGGTAGAGCTGACTTTCGGTGGGAGCAGAAGGCCCACCTCTTTGGATGGCGAGCTTATAATTGTCCCTCAGCTGGCACTTACCGGGTGGGGTCTTGGAACACATGTGGGTGTGGACACAGAATTACAGAAGCCTGGATCTTGATTTCAGATTAGATAGATGGAGGACAAAGCTCTCACTGTTGGAGAGAAGGTACTACCAGAACCGGGGTGGGTTCAGTGACCTCACAGGATGTGCTGTGTGCTGGAAATAGTTCAGGGTCCTGATTCTTGATGTCTCTCAGCCTTAGGCTAAGGAAAACTGTCACCTTTTACAGAAAGATACATAAACTACTTGAGATCATTTCTGAAGGAAATCCTGGAAGCAGAACCTTATTGTTTTGAATGAGTTGCTTGCTTGATAAAGGAGAAAGCCCTGTACTGTGAACTTCTTTAGGGACATGGTCCAAGGCTGCCAAGGTGACGAACTTCAACAGCACGGGCAGAGCAAGTGGAGGCTGAGAGGAGCTGGGAAAGAGGGCTCATTTGATGTTGCTTTCATGTTCAAGCAGATGCCTGGTTTCCCCTTAGGAGGAATGGTTAGGTTTTATTTATCTGATATTTCTGGAGTTGCTGTTAAGTGCAAACCCTTGTCCTAGAGGCTCTGAAAAGCAGGAAGCTGAACGCTCGTAAGGAATTTATAGTAGTAGAAGAAGTCAGTAGGTACACAAATGCTCTTTGAGGTTTGAGCAGAGAATGGGTAGAGGAGAGTGTCACAGGTAGCTAAGTTTGGAATGAGCTAACCTCAAAGTTCCAAATTGGAAAATAGGTGCTATAATTGGAGGTGTTGCTTTTAGTGTCCACTCCTAAGTGCTATGTGTAACTAGGACAGTGGGAAGCAGGAGAAAGGAGGTGGTGAAAGGGTCGGGCCAGATGATTTCTAAGAGCCCTCCCCGTTCCCAGCCGCACTGGATGCCTTGAGAAGATGCTCTCTGAAGCAGGCTGCACCTCACCCCTTCTTAGCGCCTGCAAGTGCCTCTAGGGGCTGAACGTCGTCGATACCACGGGGTGCTGCTGGAAAGCAGGAGAGAGAGAAAGAGGGGAGAGAAGAGGAGGGGAAGAGTGAGAAGAGAAGAAAATAATTACAACAGCAGAGTCCAGTTGTCACCCAATGCCTGTGATTTGTAGGAAGCTTAATCCCTGAGGCAGTGTCATTAAGAGCTGCATTGAATTAGGGTATCTGTCTACATCCGTGTGTGTGGACGTCCGACTTCAAGTCTATGTTAATGGTGACAGTGGAACCCTTGAGAGGTAATATACAGTGGGGATGTCAAGGGGGTTGTTGAGGGGCGTTAGTCCCCCATCATCACTCTCCACCCAGTCCCAGTTTGGTACGGACCAATAGATATGTACTCAGCCTTGGATGATGTATTTTGCACAGGAAGAAATCCCTTCCAGCCATGGTGGGGCCTCTGATTCCTTCTGGGGGTTTCAGGAGCCATCCCTGGATCCGCTGCACAGACATCTTTTCCAGGAGGAACTCAGCAGGTCACGAGGCCTGTCTTCCCTGGAGACTTCTTACTCCTTCCAGCTCCTTTTTAGAGTGGGCCTTGACCCCATATAGTGCCCGGTCTTCCAGGGGCTGTTGCCACACGCAGTGTTGTGTAAAGGGCCCTCACACTCATCGCTTTCTGAGGAACTGCATACCGCTCTGGTTTCCTTTTCATGACTGGGGAGGAGACAGAATCAGCTTGGATTTAAGGGATTTTGTCCAAGTCTGATCTTTCGGTTTCTGACATCTGGGCCTGTTGAAGGAAGTACAGTTGAGACATAGTTTGACCCAAGACCCCCGCATAGTCAGAGAATCAAAACCTGCTTTACAAACACATACCTCTTTTGTCTGACTCACCAGTACTAACGAGAATATTGGTTACCAACCAAGTTTCCCATGTTCTTGCCCAATTTTTCTGCAGGAACTTCCATCAGCGCTGAAGGCAGCCTTGTCCGGCCACCTGGAGACGGTGATTTTGGGCCTATTGAAAACACCCGCTCAGTATGATGCTTCGGAGCTGAAAGCCTCCATGAAGGTAAACACGTGTGAGATGCAATCTCTGTCACATCTGCCATTAATATTTGCGAATTACAGCTTTCTGAGTGTAATTAGGTGATTTTCAGTTTTGTTGAATTCTCATTTGGAACCATCTTTTTTTTTTTTTTAAAGGAACGAAGGCATAAAGGTCCGGGTTTTTACCCAAAATAATTTAAATTCTTTTTTTTTTTTTAAGACTGTAAAGAAATTTCATGATGATGAAAAGTCAGTTACCAGCTGCTACTGCTTGGCACCTGGGCAATTGAAATACCATTTGGAAAAACTACTTCCTTGATTACACTTCCTCCTTAAAAAAGATTTGTTGTGATACCAAGGCAAAAGTAAAACTCAGAGCTTTTGTTAAAGTGAAGCTTGCAAATTCTGCCCAGGGTGTCTTGGGTGTTTCTTTTTCTGACCATCTCCTTGTAATTCTTATTGTTTGATTCAAATTCGGACAAAATCAGAATATACAGTGCATATAAAGGGTGATTTCAGATCATGAGTGGTACCTGTGTTTAGTTCAAAGTATCGGACGGAGCACATAGTGTCTTTGATTTTTCTTTTCAAAGTTATTCTGAACATGGAATTTTAGATTAAATTAGTAAAATTCCACTTTGGAACCCCTCTGAACTCTGTGCGTACCTAAACCCTCAATCAAGTATTACATAAACGTACACACCTTTTAGCCCAGCAATTCCATTGTGGAAACCTGGCCTAGTGAAGACAGATTGAAACAAAGTTCAAATGAACTTGAAGCCATTTGGCAAAGATCATGGAAAACAGGGCCAGCAAGAGCTACAGAGTTTTGGGGCCTTGTTAAATATTTAAAAAAAAAAATTAATAAATTTCAGAAAACAGAAAAAAAAAGTGTTACATAAATGTGACAGATGCATAAACATAAATGTATGTTACAGGCAAGTGGAGGAAAACCCTTTTCCTAGTGTCCCTGCAACACTTTGAGTAATCTGATACTACCCTCTGCTGGTAAAAGTGTGTAAAGCCTCTGCCTTAGGGGAAAAGCTCTAGTTCTGATTTTTTATTCGAAGTCTGACTGTGTTTCCTGTGATGCCACATGGTTCCTGAATTATGAAGAGACCAAGCTGTAAGCCTGTCCCCAGAGCTAATGTCACAGTTCAGCGGCCATCCCTTTCCCCAGAGAGCACCTCCGAGAGTGAGGAAGCCTCACACACGCGGCATTTCCAGGGTCTAAAACTTGATAGCTCAGGGTTGCTGCTGAAAGATTTGTTGTGAGATCTTTTTTCTTCCTTCAGTTCTCCAGTGTAGCCCAAGCTGTGCTTAGTTTGTTTGAGCAGACGTGCCCTGAGTTTCCTAAGTGGGCTATCTTGCAGGGGAGGTATCATGAAGAATGGTAAAATGTCAACAACACTTAATGATCCTACTTAATAAAAAGAACCCTCCTGAAATCCAATTCTGGGCACCCTGGGAGCCACAGATGAGCTGGCCTCTCCTAGGTGTCTTCTGACCATCATTACTTGGGATCAGTTTATCTTATTTTCGTCAAGAATTCATTTAGTTGTGATTCGTACCATTTTGCTAGTTTCAATTACCAGGATTAGTGACTTGAAACCGACCTGTTTGAGCTGTCAGTCACCGTTGTCATTATGTAATGGGGCCCAATGAAAGGTGCTTTGACTTCTAAATCTTTGACCTTGTGCCAGCTCTTCCATTAGCGATCACAGTTGAGTACCCTTCTGAAATCCATAAAGCTTGAAGTGACATTAACTGAACGATGCTTTAAAAAAAAAAAATCTGTTTTGACTTCTGGCAATACCAGTGGCAACATCTGCCATGTGTTATAGTAGAAGTTGCCCTTGTGATAGGAATTGGGGACAATCTGTGGAAAGCTTGGGCCAAGTTTTGGAAATTGTCAAGGTCACCTTTGACTATAGGGATAAAAACACTATTAGAATTCTCAGATATGAACACTGGTATATCAGCAATGGAAGAAAACATCTTATACTGCTATACCTGTTTTACATTTCAACAGTGTCAGGATGTAGCATTTCTTCCAATGCATGGGTTATTTTTAGGCTCTATTTCTATTATCCTTGAGATTGAAAAACTGTCCTCTAAAATATTTGAAGATGCTTGGTAGTCATTCTATCACATTTGTATAGAATGTTGTGTAGACCTTTTGCTAAGAAGGAAAGAAATTTTGGCTTTGCTAGAACCTCTGCGAATCATGATTAAAAACTGGAGAAAGAGGCTTTGGCTCAGAGAGTAGATTAAGAATAAGATTCAAAGTTAACCATGAACCTGAGGCTTAATTTATATTACACAAACCACTTTTTAGGGGCATATAAACTCTTAATAAGTTTAATTAATAGCTGACATACTTTTCCTGTGGATAAGTAAGTTTCTTATTGTGTTAACACCTTATAATTGGTTTACATTTTAAACAGTTGTAATTCCACTTAGTTCAAAGTGATATTTCCATTTTTGGAAAGACAAGTATTAGAGAATCCTGATTATTAAATCTTGACTTTGATCATGAAGGCAGCTTTGAAATCCATGTTTCACTGAGTCCTTTCAAGCTATATGGCATGCTCAAAAGTGTATATATTAAATTTGAATATATCGTCCATCAAATTCTTATTCCTTAATAAAGTTGGTGTCTAGGTTTATTTGGGACTTCGTTATTTCCTTTTGCTTCCCTAAAATGCCTGAAGAGTGCATAGTAATCAAGCAAAAACGGAAGTACAAGAATTAAATTTTTAACATTAACCCAATTTCACATTTCAAAGAGGTGAAGCTAAAAATTTAATCTTATCTGTACCTTTTCCTGGTAAAAGTAACTTAATTCCAATATGATGATGCTGGCTGCAAATGATAATATTAAAATCTCTATATTCCTTTATTTTAAATTACGGTGCAGAATTGTTTATAAAGTTATTTTCTATCAAAATAATGCATGATTGTAGAAATAGGAAAATAAAGAAAAAGGGGAAGAAGGAAAAGTTACTCATTTCGTAAGCCCATCACCAATTGGCAACCACTTTTACCATTTTGGAGTATTTCATTGGTGTCTGTTCCCATTCACCATATATATAAATATATATACATAGTTGGGCTCAAATATGTCACTTATACCACCTTTCCTTCTGGAAGCATTTTTAAAGGAATAGAAAATAGCATTACGTTGTGCTGAGGCATACAGTAAGATCCCTCAATAGGAATGTAGAAAGGAGCGTACTGACAGACCCAGTCCACGTTTGCAGTCTACCTGACTAAGGTCAGAGAAGTAGGCTAATGGCCAGGAGGACTTTCCCTGCTGATGTTCATGCTTCCTGGTTCACAGGGGCTGGGGACCGATGAGGATTCTCTCATTGAGATCATCTGTTCACGGACCAACCAGGAGCTGCAGGAAATTAACAGAGTCTACAAGGAAAGTGAGTAACCCTGGTTCTGTGATGCATCCTCTCAGCCCCATTTCTGGGCTAGTGTTTGGGATGAGACGCCTGGATTACATATGCGGAAATGCCTGCCGTCTGTAACGTCCAGGGGGTTTCTGTGGGCCAGGGCCCTCCTCCACTTCCTAATGGCCTGGGTTTTGATTATTCTGTTCCACTAGAACTTCTACAAAAGGATAGATACAAGGGAAAGGAGAGAAAACAAAACTCCTTGAAAAAAAATCTGGTGGGGAAAAGTAGAAAATATCACATATAGATTTCATTTATTGGGCACTGTCCAGTCTCTGCTTAAGAAGTTCCCAGCTCAGCTCTGAACTGTGGTTATATAATTGTTGCGAGAGGCATGTGGACCTATGTGCACCAAGCGGTATAGGAGGCTGTGGGTAGAATAAATGATACAGCTTACAGGTAGGTGTGTTGTTACTATGTGTCAATATAGATGTCATTTTGAGTAAAATACAAATTCACTCAAAAGTGCTATGTAATTCTTACTAGTTTTTGCCATTGTGCAGTGTGTGTGTGTG